TCTTGTGGTTTGCAGATTCAGGCAGCACATAAATGGAGGTGGTTTTAACAAATGTTTCTGAAACTGTCATATATTCCCATGACTCTTGCCTTTTCAGTTGCACCATCATGCATTTTTTTTGACTGATTTGTTTGCTCTAAATCCCTGTTTTGTATTATTGGTTATTTAGAGTTCAGTTCATCGAAGTTGATAAAAGCCATTTTGAAATGATTTCTAAAAATATTTGATTTCTCAATTTGCTTTCCCCAAGTTGTATACTGCAGGGGAAGAGCTTCTCTTTCTCTTCCTTCTGATTATTCAGAAGAAAGTTGCCAAGCGTGTGATTGATATGTGTCAGACTTCAATGGGTATTAATGACTTTTCTGCTAAAACTTAAAAGTGTGTATCTCATCCTGCACAATGAAGCTTGCTTCAGTTTTCTCAAATATTTATCTAAGTTTTAAGGGAGTAAGTGCTTCCATCTTATCAATATTCTGTCTACTAGATTTTCAAGAAATACTAGCTATAGTAATATGTTAACAGAAGGGTATTAAAGCTAGATCAAAATTCCTTTATGCTACTTCATCATTCTTTTATGAAACTTTGTTTGCTTTCCTGTCACAGAAAATGTCCAGAGTAGACGGGTCTTGAATTACTGATAAAAACCAGAAAGCATAGAACTTGAAAACTCAGGTTTTCAATTTTGCAGTGTAACTGGGAGGAGCACCATGTGAGTTTTTAGAAGAACAAACATTTTGTAGCATGTTTGCATTGGAGAAACAAGAAAGCTGTAGTCATGAAAGAAAGCTTCCGACATGATGGCTTGGTACAGAATTTTGCAATGTTTTCCAAATCTAAATTTCGATTTAATTAAGTTCCCATTGCCAGAATGTAAACTAGTTATCCCAGCCTTGCATTTAAAAAAAAAAAAAAAAAAGCAGAATGATAAGTAACAAAGGTGGGAATTGACCTCGCCCAGTCTTCCCACTTAATTCATACCTTAATTAGTTCCATTTATATGCTAATATTAAACGCAGATATATATTTTTTCGATTTTGTAAACATGGATATAATAATGCAGAGAAAAGGATGTGGTGACAGTGTAGTTGCCTTGTTAATAATGAATTTTTTTTTTTTAAATTACCTGTCCACAGTAACTGTCCACTTCCTGCACAGGCACAGCTGTGTCTTTGCAGCATCTCATGGCAGTCATTGAGATACTTCAGCTGTGTTGAGTTGATGATGGGAAACAGGACCATGAAAGAAATGTACAATCTCCCCCTGCAGGCGTTCATTACCTTTTCTGTTTTTTTCCCAATCTTGTAAATATTCAGTTTCCACCAGATCACGTTCACTGTTGTGTTTTAGCTCAGTTTTCCACTTGATGTAGTATTTGTGTACCCAAGGCACCTATTTACTTTGGACACTAGCATGAGAGCAAGTCTATTTTCTTTTAATTGCAGTATTCTTTGGTACTAGATGCTTCTTGTGTTTCAAAAAGATAAATTTAAAATTTGGTTTTAATCGGTTTATATTTGAAACCTCAGGAAACAGAAATCTGGATTTTTTTCTTTTGAATTTTAATTTTATCCCAACTGTGCAAACTCTACTCGATTGGCTACAAATTCAGTTTTGAGTAAAGCAAACATGAGGATGGACTCGACAGTAAGTAACAATTGCAAACACATTAGCAGTAATTGGTGTGGCACTTAGTTATTATAATTGATGTATGTATGCTGGTTATCCAGTTGCTCAGCATTCTAAAAGTGTTGGCTGTAAGTCTTTAGAAACATCTGATAGGCAGCTCTAAATATATCAAGGTAGTCAAAACCCAGAGCTGTTATTTCTACCCCAATACTCAATGAAGGCTGTCTAATCCATTTTGATTGGAATTACCAAAATTCTTGCTTTACCAAAATTCTTGCTTTTCCAAATAGAAGTTTGAACAGTTTTTGAGGTAGCCCTGCTTTCAGCTAATTGGTATTGTTTTGTATTATCCTTACTTGGTCTTATTTTGAGATGTTGCCAGAAGGGGCGGCTGTGGTGCTGTGGTTGCATCCTAACTCTCTTTTGCATTGGGCTCGAAGCTTGTCCAGCTGCCAAGTGGAGTGTGGAGTGAATTGATCTGATGAAAGATGTCTCTCTGTGTGTAAACAGACTACAGGTTGCTTTACTGTGGTGTGTCTCAATCTCCATTACAGCTGGCCATCGGAGAGCTGTGTTTTGGCATTACTGTGCATGCAAATGTACTCAGACTAATTTTGGTAGTGTCAGAAAGGACTGCTTGTCAGAAGTAATAGGATGAGAAGGAGGGTATTTTCAAAATATTAAGGTCAGTTAAAATTTATAACTGGGTATAAGAATATTTTTGGAAGGTAAAGAATCTGGCTCCTGAAAATATGTACAGTGACTTTGGACAGCTAATGCTCACGCTTGCAATAAATGCAAGTTGTGCAGAGTCATGAAGAAGAGCCAGTTTTGAACTGGCTGCCTTAAGGGTTGCCAATGATGTAAAGGCAGTAGTTAAACAGCTGCGCTACTGGCTGAAGGAAAAAAGAGGGAAATAACTCAATATTTAACTTGTGCTATGCTGTGTGCTTTGAGAAAATACTTTCACTGTTGAGTTTACCTCAACCTTTTCTAAAAAGCACCTAAGCAGTCAGCAGTAGTTGTAGTGTCAATATAGCCTTTTTATGGGAGCTTTCACTCTGTGAATCTTTCAAGTGATATGATCTATTTTGTTTTTGACCTTGATTTTGAGGAGCCAGATGCCTTGCTATAATTTCAGGCTGCTTTGTATAAAGTGTACTCTGTATTCATGGCAACGCAGTTTAAGGTCATAGGGTACAGACTCTGTGGGCTTCGTGGCGTCTCTGTCCCTGCCCCACGCACATTTCTTACATTGTCTTACTTAATGTTCTTTGTGATATTAGTGCTTTACCTTTTCCCTACCACTTCCTCATATATTTGCATATAATATGCAAATGACTTATTGGATTTTGGAATGTAAACCAAAAAATTACCATGCCACTTCCTGACAAGCTCTTTTTCTGATCTGTCTTCAACCTGCAACTATTTAGTGGTTTTGAGTCACTTGCGGGAGCCCGGGGTTGACGCTGACCTCATATCACATTTCTACAAGTCCCTCCTGAGGAGCCAGGGCCCTGGATCCCATTCAGGGTTTGTTCCAGGCTTTCAGGAAAGCCTGCACACACTGTGGCTTTGTTAGCTCAGCCTGCCTCCCCACCTGACCATGCTGGTCAAGCATTGGAGTAGGTTGCTCAGGAAGGTTTGTCTGTGGAGGGATTTAGGAAATGTGCGGACGTTTCATTAAGGGACATGGCTTAATGGTGGGGCTTTGTAGGTCAGGCTCAAGGTTGTACTTGATGGTCTTGAAGGTGTTTTCCAACCTAAATGATTCTATGAACTGTATTTGACAGGCAGCAGATTTTTTTTCTTCTGTAATTACCGAAGGTTTACTGAAAAGTATATTGCGCTATTTAAGAGAAGAGGTAAGTCAGTCTTTAGTGAAAGAAGGGTATGAAAATACAGATGTACTTGACTGAAGTATATTTTGCATTACACAGTGCAGTTGTTTGTTCAGTAGGAAGCTGTGTGGAATGCTTCATGCAGTACAAAGTGACCTTACTTACTACACAGAGTCATAGGATCTTTTGGGACTTTCTGTACTTCTTGAAGGAAAGCTCAGAGTTCCAGTCACCCAACAGAGTGGTTGAGAATGTAGAAAAATACAGATTTTTCTTAGCTTTTTCATCTGTCAGATGCTTTTCTCCTGGTTCTTATAGAGAGTAATTACTGTGTCAGATCCTCTTCCATCAGTTTCTTTCTTTTTTTTACTGGTCCAGTACATTTTTTTGTGTTGTCAAAGCATGGCAGTAGAGTAGAGAAGGGAAACAGTCATGTTTTGATCTCTCTTTGGCAGAACAAATGTGATTCCCTTCCTGCATAGTGTGATTGTGTTGCCCCAGCCATTATGGTTTGTTCCTGGCTATCCTTTAACAAGGGAGAAAAATAAATGCTCTCTTCCCAGGAGGCCAAGGAGTGCTGCTCTACTGTAGTGGCCGTAACAAATGGAAAAACAATTGTTGGTTTCAATGCTCAACATGCTTACTGCTTGTAATTAAAAGTGAAAATTTAAAAAAAAAAAAAAAAAAAGCATAGCTGGTGATATAGTTATCTACTAGATTTAAATTATTACCTAGCTTATCTTCAGCTCCCTAAAAGATTAGTGTGTATGAAGAGGGCATCTACAAGCTTTGTATTGCCAGTATGTGCAAAATTTCTCTGCTCTTATTACTTGGATTCCTTGGGAATAAAAGTAAACACTGGGAAACCCCAGCAATATCGGATTTTTGCTATTATGGCAAGTAATGCTTTCCTAAAATGTTTGTATTCCAAATGTTGCAACTGTTGTGCGCCATTCAGGAAATAGAAGGTGGGGGGGGGGGGAAGAACTTTGTAGAAAAAAATAGCTTGTGTAGTAGAGGAAAGAAAATTCAGGAAGAAAGCAATTTAAGTCTTCAAAAAGTATTTTCAGTTTTAATTTTTCAGGGATTTGTAGGGTGCTTCTCATATCATGAACAGAATTTGAAATGCTCGTGCCAAAGAAAATAAGTAATGCAAAAAATATTTGTTCCATATAAACAAAGTTGTAAATGCCCACTGATTTCAGTGAGGCCAGAATTCTGTTTGCATTCTAAGATACAGAATCCTTTTTGCAGTTCAGTAAGTTTAAAATGGGTAAACATGTTTGAACATCTCATTGCAATCCGAAAAGTATGATTACATAGTACTTGGTTTTAAGTATTCTTGTTGTAATGGCTTCATGTTTGGGAATGTGCGATAATTACAGTGTTTTCAGTATACTGGAAATTTGTTTTACAGTCTTCTTTTTTGAGAAATCTTAATGTTCTGTTTAATGTGTCTTTTTTTTTTTTTTAATAAAAGTTACTTGATGAAGGGATGATTGTGCTGATTGTTAATTGTTTTCTGTTTTGCAGCTCACAAAACAGCGATGTCACAGAACTGAACACATTTGTCACAGTAAGTATGCCACAGCATTAAGCATCCTGATAATTTTCTGGGAAGCATCAGCTACACATAGGGAAAAGGAAGATGTGTGGTGCTCGACTCTGCACCTACATCCTGCTTCAGCAAGGTGTAAAGTACTGGTTTAACTAAATCTCTTAGATATTTAGTCCACATGTGTAATGTGTAATTACTTCTGTGACTTCAGTTTTTACCATTGGGTAAGTCTTTAATCAGCACCATGATAGCACTATAACAGTGAGCGATTACTTTAATGTAGGATTGAAATATAAATTTGACAGTATTACAGTATTTCAGAATGCCTTGAGTAGTTTTGACATCTGACTGTTCAGTTTAGAGAACGTTTAAAATGAGTTGGGAGATTCTGCTAAGAGTTTTGATTCCAAAATCAGTTTTTGCAACCCGCAGAAATAATTTTGAATGCTCAGAGATTTATTGTGTTATTTTGCAACATAAATGGTTATCATTTTTTACTCATAGCTTATTGGACTATTAGGAAATGAAGAATTTTGCTTTCATGTTAATTTGCTTATTTTTTCGCGGTAAAGAAACAAGGTTCTCATGTCTTAGTCATTTACTTTAGACAAACTTAATGGTGAAAACTAAAATAGATACAAAGAAATTTAAACCCTGACTAGCTAGGCATAGCTCAGAGGTGTAACTTTCAGACACATCTCTATATGTCATTGTATTTACTGTCTGTCAGGTACACTAAGTAAGAGATGGAAATCTAATAGCTTTGAAATGATTTTTTGGGTTTATGATTTTGGTTCTCATCAAGTGAACCACCAATTCTTCATACACTTTCTATGAT